ACGGCTCAAATCTAGCCAAAATAACTTCATATCATATATAAAAACCATAGGAAACAAATGAGGATAACAAAGATTCGATCTTTAATGAAAACTAAAAAGTCAACCCAAAAGGTCAACCCTGAGCCCGTGCCTTGGAACCCGACAAAGATTCACAAAATTCAAACACCCACTCTGAGACGAGTCCAACCATACCAAAATTATCCAATTACGACATCAAATCGGCCTTCAAATCCTCATTTTATATTTTTTTAAAGATTTTACAAAAATTCCCGTTTTCTCTCATTCAATTTACTAATTTAATGATAAAAATAATTATGGAATCATGAAATATAATTAATTCCGGATAAAGAATACTTAACCCAATCCAAATCGTGAAGAACCCCTCCAAAATCACCCAAAATCGATGTCTACAACTCAAGATATGATAAAAATGGCCAACTCTCGAAATATAACCTTCTGCCCCAGCACTTCCGCTTTTGCGGATAAAAACATGCACGTGCGACGACCGCTTCTGCAGGAAAAGCTCGCACCTGCAAGAACCACTGAACACAGGACATCTGCTCTCCATGCACCGCATCTGCGGTATCGCAGATGTGGAAAGACCATTGCATCTGTGCTCACTCCAGCCTCTGCTACCCTTGCACCTGTGACAAACATTGCGCTTCTACGACCGGATGACCGCTTCTACGACCGGATGACCACTTTTGCGGTCCCTGCCTTCTCCAACCAAAGTCGCACCTGCGCTCCAATTCTCTGCTCATGCGTCACCGCACCTGCGGTCCATCATCCGCAGGTGCGAAGACAGCAGCATACAGGTTCTTCAGCAACTTTAACAAGGCTCAAAATGATCCGCAACACGTCCGAAACATATCCGGGACCCCCGAGACCCCTTCCGAACATACACATAAGTTCCATAACATAATGTGGACCTGCTTGAGGACTCAAATAACATCAAATAATGCCAAAACTACGAATTGCATCTCAAATCGAATTTAATGAACTTATGAACTTATGAACTTTCAACTTCTACAACTCGCGTTGAATCATATCAATTCAACCCGGAATGACGTCAAATTTTGCATGAAAGTCCCAAATGATATAACAGAGCTATTACAACTCTTGGAGTCGTAATCCGAGCCCCATATCAACAAAGTCAACTCCCGATCAAACCTCTCAACCTTCTAAACCTTCAACTTTCCAATTTTTGCCAAAATGCATCAAATCAACCTACAGACTTTCAAATCCAAATCCGGACACACGCCTAAGTCCAAAATCATCATACATAGCTATTGGAACCATCAAAATACCATTCCGGAGTCGTTTACATAAAAGTCAAACTCCGATTAATTCTTTTCACTTAAACTTCTAAAACATGAATCATCATTCCAAATCAAATCCCAAATCATCCAAAAACCAAAATCGACCACAGACGCAAGTCATAATACATGATACGAAGCTGCTCAAGATCATAAGCTACTGAACGGAACGCAAATTCTCAAAATGATCGGTCGGGTCGTTACATATTGTTAATAACTGGCTCAATTGTGATAGTAATCAGCTTACCTAGTTTCAGAGACTAGGTGCCATCACGACGTCCTATGGAGGGCGTTTGGGATTGTGACACATATCTCCCTCATTTTAAGGCCAGATTAGGTGATTCAAAAATCTATCTTGGGTGTAATCTCACAAGGATTATTTTAGGCTTATCAAATGTAAGTTTCGGGGTCATCTAGGATCTGATTCGAGATGGAACAACTACTGTATTTTTTTTACTTGTTTCAAAATTTAGTCACTTTTTCTCATAAGGTTTTGGAGCTCGAATTTGGGCAATTTCTGAGGGAATTTGCATAATTTGGATTGGGATTCAAGCTTTTCGGAGGTTGATTTGCATGGGAAAGGATTCTTAGAGTATTAATTTAGCTTACTTGAGGTAAGTGTCTTGCCTAGATTTGTTGGGAGAATTTTTTCTAATAAAATGATATTGTTTGCTACATGCGGGGGTGATGCATATATGAGGTGACGAGCATATATGCATGTACCAGGGTTAATCATGCTCGGGGTAGATTATACGATTCTTTGTGCCTTGTTGGAATATGTAATTTTCTTGCCTCGTATTTTACTTGACTTCTATAATAATATGAATATGGATTTCAATACTAGGAACCATGATTTAGCTTATTATAACTTGATTAAATTTGACGGACTCTTTGTCAAATTTTTGATGTGCTAAATTTGGTGATCTCTATACCTAATAACGAATACATGTCAATAACCATAATTATGAGGTACTTGGGTTCCATACTTATGTTAAAAAACATGTTGAGATTTTGTTGAAATACTTGAACAATAGGATTCTTGAGGTTTATTGAATTGTTTATTGGTTGTAGAGCTGTGATTAATGTTCACATGGTGTATTTGCTTAACTACTTCTTGATGTTATTCATACTTTCTACTTTTCTTGTCATTGACATACATTGCTTGGTAAGGAAGAGTGAAAAGAACGAAGAATGATGCCGTGCTATTGCATATATATTATCATATGAGAAAGAGTGTAAAGCATGAAGGGTGATACCATACCATTTCATATACATCATTACGCACGAAGGATATAGTCGTGCCATTTCATTTACATATCATGCAAGGAAGAGTGTAAAGTACGAAGGGTGATGCCTTGCCATTTCATATACATCATTACACACGAAAGATAATATTATGCCATTTTATTTACATTATCATGTGAGGAAGAGTGTAAAGCACGAAGGGTGATATCGTGCCATTGCATATACTTTATATCTAAGGAAGAGAGTAAAGCACAAGGGGTGATGTCGTGCCATTGCATGTACATTTGTGTTTTCATTCCAAGTTGTCATTACTGCACCTATGCTTTGTATGAGACTTGTTGTTGTTACGTATTTTCTTCCTATCTTAATTGTTATTATGTTATCCATGTTTTCTATCTATTTATCTGGTCACAATCATGCTTTCCGTCTTGTTTGTTATATCTACATTTATGCCTTTGATAGTTGATGTGCTTTTATCAAACTCTTCTACCTTGCTAGATAGAGAAATATATGTCCTCCTACCTTAATTGCCATCATTACTTCTGTGCTTCTTACTCTGTCTGTTACCGTTGCATGTATGCTCTGCCTTGTTCGACATTGCTACCTGTCTACTTTCCACTTTGTTGTTACTATTATTGGCATTTCTTTTACGTGGTTGGTACTGTAATACATATTCTTGTTGAGAATGAGATAAATGCACGAAAGGTATTGCCATGCCAATTAATTTGACATACATTTATATATTTGGTGAGGATGAGATAAATGCATGAAGGGTATTGCCGTATTATTTAACTTGATATCTTGATCACATTCCTCATACTATGAATATTCGCGAATTTACTATGTTGTTTGGTAGTTATCGCTTTAAGAGAAGGATTGGTTGTGATATGGAGGAAATTGACCGTGATTTCTTCTAGTAATCATTTATTGCTTTTATCTATTCTTGTGCTCTTCTCTGTCATTTCTAGTATTGTTTTTATTGCAAATTTAACTGAACATGTTATATTGGTGGGTATCTTTTGACTTAAAAACCTCGTCACTACTTCACCGAGGTTAGTTAAGATACTTACTGAGTACATGGGGTCGGTTGTACTCATGCTACACATTTGTATCTTGCGTGCAGATCTTGGAGCTACGTAACTGTGGGAGACAAAGTCTTGCATTGAAGTCTTGCATTCAAGCTATCCTTTGTTCATGGTAGCTTAGGATGTGAGTGCCTGTTTATGTAAACTTCAAACAGATATTGTGTTTATTCTTCATATTTGTTTTGTAATCCAAATCATAGAGGCTCATGACTTGTACTATCAACCCTTAGGGTAATTGCATTGAATTCAGTTGTAGTTTCCATATACATATATTGTCGATTTCTCAATTTTGTTGTAACTTCTATTAGTTGGCTTAGCTAGCGGATTTGGTTAGGTGTCAACATGACTTAGTGTATTTTTGGGTCGTAACACTTAAAGCTATAGCGTCACACATTTGTAAAATTAATGTCAGCCGGTTGAATATAATTATAACTGAAGACGCGTTAGCACATTGAGCCTTCTGTGTAAATTAAAAATGCAAGGAAGGCGCGTTTGCTAATAAAGCCTTCCACTGATTTTAAAATTTACACGGAAGGTGCGATTAGTCAGGGCGCCTTCTTCTCAAATTATACTTAGTGGGCCGTCAAGTTTGGGGCATTAATATTACAAGAAGAAGGCTCGCTAGTGTAGCGTGCCTTCACCACTAATGTAAAAAAAAAAAAAAAAAAAAAAAAAAAAAAAAAAAACTGACAAACCCATATATTGTAGTAGTGCTCCTTTCCTCACCATTTAAGTCAAGCCTTCTTGTGTAATCACTATCAAAGAGACAATTCAAAAGTAACCCTGTAGTTCTGTTAGCCCAGGGAGAGCAAGATGCAGGTTACTCAAATGCCTTCAAATTCGTGAATTTCTGGAAATTCAGTACCAAGTAGTTAAATATACTTGTAAACAGTACTTTATCTTTTTAAAATGTTGTAATAGTTTATTCTATTTCATTAACTTGCCGTCAATTAGCGGTAAGAACATTTAATGATGCTCCTTTTGGGCAGGTGAGAGTTAGAGAAACGGGCTCTTTTAAGGTAAATGATGAAGCTTTGCGTTTTCATCAGTCTTCAACCACCGACTTGCTTATCTTTTACATGGATTAGTTCACCATCTGATTTGTTGAACTACAATTCTCTGTTTCTCCGATTTAGCCTAACCCAAAATTCCTTGCACCTCGCAGAATGTTTTGCCTCTATAGTCGTTCCTTTCAATGATCTCTCTATAAAAAGAACATTTGTTTCAGTGTATTGTTCTGTGACATTTGTTAATTCTCACGACCAAATAAATGTAGAAACATTAAGATGGTTAGCTCAAGTAATTGGAGCCACTACATTTTTTCTTCTCTTTTTGCAGTTCTCATTCTCATCGTTCCTTGTTTTTCTGAGAAAGGTACGTATCTCTTCCTGCTGTAAAATTGCCGTGATTAATTCTTCTTTGATTCCATTTTCTCCTGTCTTGCAAGATCAATTGAAAAGATCGAATTAATGATGAGTCTAATGAAAAAGCATGTTTCGATTTTCTAAAAAAATGTAAGGATTTTTTACATTATTGGTGTATTAGTGCATTGTAATATGCTTTAGCAGCTAATTTATCTTATTTTTAAGGTCACTAATTTCACTTTTTATGAGAAACTACATGTAGTTCTCTTTTAGGTGGTTACACGTTAATAACTGTGTTAACGTATTGTAAAAATATATAATGTTTTCAATTTCGATAAAAATGAAGGTGGTAAAAGTAGTTTCGTTTCTATGCATGCAGCCCCATATTCCACATTCGCAAAGGACGCTACATCAGCACCAGAGGTGGTATTCTTCGATTATATCGTTATAGGAGGAGGAACTTCTGGCTGTGCGTTAGCAGCAACTCTCTCACAAGGTTCCAATGTTTTGTTATTGGAAAGAGGTGGCTTGCCTTATGGTAACCCAAACATCACAAACATTACTGGTTTTGCCAACAATTTAGCAGACACTTCTCCTTCATCGCCCGCACAACTCTTCATCTCTACCGACGGTGTATTCAACCACCGTGGCCGTGTCTTAGGCGGCGGCTCGGCCGTTAATGCCGGGTTCTTTTCACGGGCAAGCAAAGGCTACGTTAAGAAAATGGGATGGGATCAAAAGGTAGTGAATGAAGCCTATGAATGGGTTGAAAAGAAAGTGGCGTTTCAGCCTCAGATAAAGCAGTGGCAATCGGCAGTGAGAAATGGTCTTGTGGAAGTAGGGGTGAAACCATATAATGGTTTTACGTATGAACATTTGTTTGGAACTAAAGTTGGTGGTACCATTTTTGATCCACAAGGTCATAGGCATACTGCTGCTGATTTATTAGAGTATGCTGATCCTACCAAAATTACTGTTTATTTGTATGCAACCGTGCAACAGATCATGTTCAAAAAAGAAGGTAACTGCTTAAATTTTTCCGAACGTAGTTTACAACTTTTAAAACTATAAATATAAATATGCCATAGACATATCTGTAACTATAAATCATCTCAAGTTAGATTATATCTAAATAAGTATGTTATTATTTTGGGACAAACTAAAAAAGAAAGCATAAAAATTACGTATTATTTTTTGGAGCAGGAATACTAACACTATCATTGATTTTTACTGAAAATGAAGCAGGAGGAAGGAAGCCAAGAGCTTATGGAGTTCGGTTTCTAGATTCAGAAGGTAATAGCCACATGGCGTACTTGAACGAAGGATCCAAAAACGAGGTCGTTTTGAGCGCTGGAGCATTGGGAAGCCCACAAATGTTAATGTTAAGTGGTATTGGGCCGGCAAAGCAATTGAAGGCCCATGGGATCTATATTTTGGTGGATCAGCCCATGGTTGGTAAGGGTATGTCAGATAACCCAATGAATGCTGTCTTTGTTCCTTCTCCACACCCTGTTGAAGTTTCTCTTATTCAAGTGGTTGGTATTACTGGCTTCAAAAGTTACATTGAAGCTGCCAGCGGGCCTTTGGAGTTGGATTGGATGCGAAGGATTGCCCATGATTTTAAAAGAATAGCTAATCAGGTGAGATCACTCTATAAAACGTAACTAATCACAGTTAATTTTTTGTAGTGAATAAGTATTAGGCATTGGTAGCTTATGTCACTAATCGAAACATCAATTAGACATAATTTGACCCGGAAAGAGGCACTATTCACTAATCAAACATTAATTAGACTCCCATCACTAATAATTTTACTTTCGTAATCATATCCTTTTAACGGGGTTCGCGAGCACCATATAATGGTTACACTGTTTAATTTAACCTTCATTTGGACATGACAAATTTATGACAAAGTTTTGAGTGGTGTTTGAATAAAATTTTTGGTATTAAAAGTAGCTTTGAGTCACTTTTGTTTTAAGAAAATAAAGATGAATTTGAGAAGCAGGACAATTCTTTCAAAATAACTATCTAAACAGTTCCACTAGTAAAGAAATTTTCCAAAATTATTCTGAGAAACTGTACAAATGCCAACCAAGAATATGCATATGATTGGAATTTGTATAGTAGTAGTAATTCTGACTAACTATCATTTTAAGGGATTGACTAGAAAAAAGAGATAGCATACTTGTATTGCAGTATTTAGAGGGATTTAATCTATACAATCTTTGATAGTGTAACTTGTAATAGTACTGGTTAGATTTCATTATGACTTGATTACCAGTTAATACAAATCATATAAATTTACTCAAGTGACATGATTGTAAAAATAGAAGGGTAAAAATGGTCATCGGTGAATTATTATTTTTTATTTTTTTTCATTTGGTGCAGACCATGGACCCATTGAAGGTACCTTCAGAAATGCAGTTCCCCAAAGGCATACCTGGGATCAACCCACACCTTCTACACTCCCCTATGCAAGCTGGTCTCATCCTAGAAAAAGTAGCAGGACCATATTCAACAGGTTTTCTTCAACTTAAAAGCAAAGACCCAAATGAAAATCCAAAAGTAACTTTCAACTACTTCAAAGATCCAAGAGACTTACAAAGATGTGTACAAGGCATGAAAACAATAGCAGAGGTCATAGAATCAAGATCTTTCTCCAAATTCAGATACCCTTATACTTCAGCACAATCTTTAATGGATACAATGTTGACTTTTCCAATTAACTTGAGGCCAAGACATTTGAGTGCCTCTATTTCTTTAGAACAGTTTTGTATAGACACAGTAATGACCATATGGCATTATCATGGAGGTTGTCAAGTTGGAAAAGTGGTTGATAGAAATTATAGAGTTTTTGGGGTTGATGGATTGAGAGTTATTGATGGATCCACTTTTATATACTCCCCTGGCACTAATCCTCAAGCCACTGTCATGATGCTTGGAAGGTAAATTTAGTTTAACAAATCTTGATGATATTTCTGTATTATTATGCTGGACTAATAATCATGGGCGAAGCTACCTTCCACCAAGGGTGTACCACCTTTCGCCGAAAAATTATACTACGTATAAGATAAAATATTACTTATTATTGTTTAAAAATAGACTTTGAACATCCTTGCATAGCTTACTGACAGAGGTTTGAACACCCTTATTGAATTTTCTGATTTCGCCTCTGCTAATAATCATAGGTGATGATTTGTATAAATGTGATGCAGGTACATGGGGCAGAAAATTTTGAAAGACAGACTTGCTGGTGGAAGGAAATAAAAGATGTTTATAGTTAATTTGTATTGGGGAAGAAAATGTTGGATTATCGATTTTTGTGTCTGTTTTCTTTATGTGGACTTTGGACAAATTCAATAAAAGTATAGTTGTAATTCATTAGTTTTGTTAAACTTTAATGTCGATGCTTTCTGGCCATATGCAAATCAGGGCCGGCTGTAGATTCAAGCCACTAAAGCAAACCACCCCACAGCTTTTGAGGCCCCATTTTTTTTATTAATAAATAGTTTTTATTTTTTATTTTTTTTTCTTAACAAAATACCATTGAATATTGTATGATAAAAAGGAACAGAATAAGATTTTTATTAAAAAATTAAAGAGAACCATTTAGCCATTTGATTGATGGTGACATTTGAAATTTTTTATTTTGATATCAATATATTTTTCCTTTTCTTTACTTTCTCATAATAAAACTTGTACCATGTACTTTTTTCCCATCTTGTTAAGCTATTTATTCTCTCAAAAATTAGGCAAGAGCATTGAATAAGTTAAATTGAGCTTTCCTTTTCATTTTTAAAGTATTCAAACATAGCAACAATTGAATTGAAGCAGTGAAATTTTATAGTGATATCCAGTTATCAACTTCTAGAATTAGGTTGTATTATATTAAAATTTTATTATTTTTAATTAAATTTTACCAATTGTAAAAATCAATTCTAAAAAATCAGTGTCCACCCATGGTGGATGGGCATTTAAGGTGTGTCGACATGACTTGATTGTTCACAATTCCATTTGATTTAATTGCTATCACACCCATAGTGGGTGTGACGTCTTCAATCAAGTTCATGGCTAATACATCCATGTTGGGTGTTTTTATTTTACCTATAGGTATATATTATTTTTTATTAAATATTAGAATTCAAATATGTTACCTAAAACATATAAATCAATTACCCAAAATACATGAAAAAAAGAGAGGAGAAGAACTGAACTTCAATACCAATTTCAAAAAAAAAGAGCTATTTAAACAACGCCTTAAGAAAAATTAAATGAATTGGATAAATTGTCAATTGAAAAAGAAATATAAAGAGAATAGATTGTAAAAAATTATTAACAATTTTGCTTCTTAAAAAATTAAAAAAATTACTTTAAATAAAAGTATATATGTGAAGAGTTTTTTTTTCAAAAAGTTAAGGCCTCTTAATAAGTTTTGCTTTAGGCCATCAATTTGCTTGAACCGCCCCCTCGTGCAAATATTAATACGATATGGAAACATTCATCTCACGACAAATAGTCGGTTTTCACGTCTTCACTTGCGGTCAATTGATTCACATATTCCTTTCTCTATATTTTTCTGCCAAAAGCTTTGTTTTTGTTCTTTTTCTTTTTCTTTTTCCGCTTGACGACAATGTTTTCCTATTTAAATTGCTTTCTTTCATGTGTGATGGGATTTTGTTTAACTGTTAAGTGTTAATGAGTAATGACCTCCAAATATTCTTTTATGAAAGCTAATACATATCTATAATAGATGGTCTATCAATTTTTATCAGAGATGTTTTCTTTCTTATTAGTATTTGTACTCGCGTATTGCGCAAATAATATTAAATATAATTTTTTATTAGAAAATATTACTTGAAAAATATGACATATACAAAGAAGCATGTAAATGATAGTATCATTGTATGAACATGTAAACACACTGCATATTCATACATTCAAGTCTATCCAAATTTTACTATTTTTTCTTAAATTACAATTTTATTATTTAAGTACTCGAACAAATTGAAAAAATTCAGGATAAAGTTTGCATTTAAAATATTTATCATCTTTTTATTTTCTTCATGAAATAGTAGATAATATTATTATATAAACTCGTATAATTAACTGATAAATATTGGTGCAACTATATGAAAACGTATCAGTAATAATTTAATTAATAGGTTAAAAAGTTGCCTGATTTGATAGATATATATCCCTTGGAGGCCGACCAAGAAATCTTGTTATGGTGCACAATTCTATTTGAATATTGTTCATAACAATTATCACCGTTTATGAGAATGTTAAAATCTGCTGACATAGTTAGATCAAATAAAAATTTTTATAATAATAAGTTTTTAATTAAGAAGATGTTGGTGATGGAGTTAAGGGCAATAGTTCTTTTTTTCTTTTAAAATGTGGGTTTGGGGGTTAGGTATTTTCTAGGAATAAAGTTAATTACTTATCTCTTGAAATTTAAATGTTAAATTAATTTTTAGGCATTTTGTTGGATAGTTTTGCAGATTTTTTCATGTTGATAGTTACAAAATTACATCCAACTTCCACATAAATTAGCAAAAAAATCATTAAAAAGAAAACTTCAACATCTAATGTAATTAGAAATGCCGCATTTCACAATTATATTAGAAAAATTAACCACACAAATTCTAACTACTTTTATTATATTATTTACTTATCTTATCCTAATATTGTCAATTGACTTAAGCAATGCCAAATGACTTATTATTAGGCTTCCACTTGGCTTAATGTGGATATTTGGAAGAAGAAATCTCATAAATAATTATTTGCATAGGAGAATATGGATAAGAATCAATTATGAAGGTAGTTTAGAATTATTGTTCCAAGCCAACGTTTCGGAAGACATTAGTCGTGGGCTTACACTTTCAGGTGATTCCCCCCCCCCCCCCTTT